AGACATCCAGATGGCCAACAGACAAATGAAAATATGCTCAGCATTTCTCATCATCAAGGAAATGTAAATCAAAACCACAATTGAGATACCAACTCACACATGTCGGAATGGCTAAAATCAAAAGCACAACAAACAACAAATGCCGGTGACAATGTGGAGAAAAAGGTACCTTGCACACTTTGGGTCGGAACGCAAACTGGTGCAGCCGCTGTGGAAAACGGTGTGGAGGGGCCTCAAAATTTAAAAATAGGACTACCTTACGATCCAAGAATTCCACTACTGTTTCCAAAGAAAACAAAAATGCTACATTGAAAAGATATACGCACCCCTAGGTTTATTGCAGCATTCTTTACAACAGACAAGATATAGAAGCAACCTAAGTGTCTATCAATAAATGAATGGATAAGGAAAATGTGGAACACAAACACACACACACACACACACACACACACACACACACGAATATTGATCTGATGTGTCATTGACAAACATCTTCTCCCATTCTTTGGGCAGCCTTTTAATTCTCTTGCTTGCAGAAGATTTTTACTTCGGTGAAGGTCCAATAGTTCATGTTTGCTTTTGCTTCCCTTGCCTCCTGCGACATGTCTAATAACAAGTTGCTAAATCCGAGGCCAAAGAAATAGCTACCTGTGTTCTCCTCCAGGATTTTGATGGTTTCCTGCCTCACGTTTAGGTCTTTTGTCCATTTTGAATTTATTTTTGTGTACGGTGTAAGCAAGTGATCCAGCTGACTTTGCCTGTTGTTACCCAATTTTCCAGCATCATTTTTGAAGAGACCGATCAGCTTTTTTTTCCTTCCATTGATATTTTCCGTTACGGTAGGAAGATTGCCCCAGACACAGGGTCCATTTCTATAGTTCTCTGTATTGTGTTTCATTGATCTGTGTGTCTGTTTTTGTGTCAGTACCATACTGTCTTGATGACTACAGCTTTGTAATACACCTAGAATTACCAAATGTTTTATAAATGTCAACTTTTAACCTGTATTAAAAATACAAAACTCCTAGTTGATTTGTCAAAAGAATTATGAATCCAAGGATTATTGTAGCCATGGTTTTACAGCAAATGAGCACATCTTTGCTTGGTGGAGAGGGAATAGGTATTTTCTAGACTATCAGGATTTGTGTTCCCACCACAACCCATGTTTTAAAGAACCAAGGGTCATAGTCAACACAGGTTCCTGAGCCATAGATTTGGAAAACAACTTTCACTCAGGTCTGTGAAAAGTTTCAATGTTAGAGCTCTGGAAGCCAGGAAAGTTCGAGGAGGAGTAATAAAAATCGGATATGCCTGAATTCTAACCTGTATCTTGGGAACAGAGAATCTACAGGAAAAAATTCCATGCTGTCCAGATATGTTCCCATGGGGAGATGGGCTCAGGGGTTGGGGTAATAATGGGAAACGTGTCTAAGGAGTTGGTGCAGAGAACAGATACAGCAAACATAAGGAGCTATAAATAATTCCTCCGCTGCAGATCCAGACATGGTTAACCCGAAGGTGGAGGAGACGTGGGTTTTGCATTTGGATTCTCAAGCCTGGCTTGAATGCTTCACTCCTCCCTGCTCTGGGAATACAGCTTCACTCTCCATCATCAACCAACAGGAAGGAATTCAGACTTCCACCTGGAGACGTTCCTCTCACAGACCCCATCCAGGTGAGGCTTAGAGCTCAGCAGGTATTTCAGGAAAGGTTCAGAGAGATTGGTAGCTGGAAGCTATTTAATAGACTATTTAGTAGACTATTTAATAGTCTGTGAGAATATTAAAAGGAACTACACCCACGAAGACTCATGAGGGAGAGGACTCCTTGCTTCAGAAAGAGGAGATAGGATTTTCAGGATAGAGAAGAGATGAAAAACTCCAAACGGACCAGGGGGTGACTCCAAGCAGAGGGAAGCAGGGGTGTAGAGGCTCCGAGACCTGAGCCGGGCCTTCCGGAGAAGCTACAACTCAGGCTCGGTGTGTGGGAGATCGAAGGGGTGAGGCGGTGTGAGTGTAAAGCTGGTGGGTCGGTCAAGGGAGGCAAGCCAAGTGTTGGAAGGTATGGGATTGGGGGTTCATTCTCCAGGGGGGAGTCACTGGGAAGGGGTTA